ATAATTACATCATCTTAACCTAACTCAGTGCTAAAGTGGTCAAATTGCATCTAAGATCCGATTTACAGAGTTAAAGTTTTTTAGCTTTCATCGGACAGATTTATAAAGATAAGTATATAAATATTATATGCTTACACTGTAAGAATTTTTATTTATATCTTGCAAATAATTAAATTTGTTTGCAAATACAATGCGGCGCTCCGGAACCCAACGGGTCCCGTTTTCCTAGTATTTCTATGTTTGTATATACATTGTAAATTGCATTAAATATTGCATTATATGATCGTTATTTAGTTGAAAAATAAAATCTTATTGTTAGAAAAAAATCATCGAAGGGTGCATTGAAAAATCATGTGACGATAGTAACACAGGATTTTTAAAAACCGGACCTTGATCGTACCAGATGGACTTTTTACATCCCTATTTTTGAACCTGGCTTTTTCCAAAGTAATAATAGTGGATGTTATTTAGAATCTACACTTACTATTTTAGGGGAGCACAATTATCGAAATAACGTCCATGCCCATTATTTGAAAATTTACGGTAATCAAAGTTACAGATATCTTATTTCAACTAATTAGCAGAAAGTAGTAAACTGTAATATAGATAATTTTTTTAAAAATAGACACTAATAAAATTTGAACTCCCAATTTGCTACTTGGTTTAATCAAGTTAAAGAAATATTTTTTTGCAGATTTTACATATAAATTGAGGTAAGCTATCTTATTTGATTTAATTTTGACAATAGTCTAGAGGACATATTCTGTGCTGAGATTTATTTTTAAAATCTTATCTAAAATTATCAAATAGATAAAGCTATAATCTATTTAAAAACTACAGAATTGTACCTAAACTAATTTTTTACCAAACTAATTTTATATCACATCTTTATAAAAAATTTATCGATGAATAAATATAATCTATTATAAAATTATCTAACTATAGGTTTCTAAAGCTTATTTCTTAATGAGTTTATTAAATAACCTGATTTTTAAAAAAATAAAATTCTCATTCTTCACACCATAAATTTGCAACAAAATCATTATAAATATTAATTAATAGTGGTTATTGAACAACATAGCGATCACTAGCAAATTACATAAAAAGAAATGCCCTAAATTAAAAACAATTACCAATAAAATGGGTGGCAATTTACGCCACCTGTTACATAGTAAGCATTAGAAAAGCAAAATGTATTAGAATGCGAACATACGAATACGAACTTCTAATCAGATTTAAGATGTTATTGTGAATCTTTAATTAGGATACAATGAAGTCCTTAGCTGAAAGCCTATTTTCATGAGATACATTACAATATTTATTAGGAACAAGTTTATTTCGATTAGTCCAAATAAACTATAAGAGCCCGACAAACTAATGCTGACTACTTATTTCCAACATTAACTCTCTTTGTAGCTAACCATCTTCTCCATACAGAGATACATAAAATAGGTAAAAATTATATTTTGTTCCTACAACATAGTCTGTTCAGGATAATTTGTAAAAAAAAAAAAATTATAGTTTTCAGATAAAAAAAAATAAAAATGAACAGAATCTAAAGTTTTAATAATACGAATTAAAAGAATAACATTCTAATCTTTCCGACTTAAACAAGTTTATAAATATTAACACTATAGACTTTACACATTATTCTTGTTTATGTTATCACATTTTTTCTACTAGTATGTAAATAATATTCAATCACATCAAGACTTCTTTTGTGTGTTAATTATATTTGCAGGTAGCTTTTCAAATAAACTACGAACACGAGTGCAAATGTTTGTTGCCTAACTCAAAAAATTTTTATTTATCTTTATTGAGCATGACAGTTATCGTAACATTTATCTGACCTATAATAACTGACTTGGCCGCTTTTATCTACTTGTGACTTCGTGATACATTTTTCGTTACAAGGGTCGGAAGTATCGTAGCTGTCAAGTATAGTGTCTTCAGCGTTGACTATATATTATTAAAGTTGGGAATAGTATTAGTATAATGTTCATGACTGTCAACGTGAGGAATTGCAATCATCCACTCACCATAGATGATTAAAAAGATCACAAAAAGCGCAATAATATTAAACTTCATATTAAATGAGTATTTCTATCGATGAATTGTGTGAATTGTAAGAATAATCTTGAGTTGAGTATCTGAAAGTGTTTATATTTGATTTCAGTTATCGTGCGCAGCATGCGCGTCTAGGCACTTAGTAAGTACGCACGTGCGTACATTAATTAATTAATGCTATTTAATAGGATGTACGTACCTATGTATATGTGCACGTTGTAAAAGGGGAAAAGGATTCAACGGTCCTAGGCAATACAACTACACACTACTAATAAAACTAAAACTAACTAATCTACTCTAACCAGAACACCACAACTAATACAACCAA